TAGACACTTGTGAATTTTTATGAAACCTTTATAAAAATCTGATGCAAGAAGAAGATGTGTTTAATCCATGTGTTCTGCCAGGGGAATGTTTTGGGAGTCGTATATCTGTCTTTAGAGAAATTTCTATCATAGAATAGTGGAGACATATTTTTTTCTAGAAAATTTTAAGGGCAGAAATAAGAAACGTCAAAGTTTTCTCTCACCTACGTTACAAACTTTTATGTAGAATTGGATTCAGTCTTTTCAGAAAACGTTGGCTATCCATGGGGAATATTCTCTTCCTATAGTTCCTGCAACAGAAAGCCACGGTAGACCTACCTCTAGTAGCATTTTCATGGTGCACTGCACTGCACATGATTAACCTTGAAAGGAAACCAGAATTGAAAAAAGAGAAAACTATGAGCTTTCTGTGGAATGTCATCACTTTTCTTGCAAGGAAAAAGGTAAGTTCTCAAACCTGACTGAAGTATTTCTTTTCTGTGTCTCCCACTTCATGGCTGCTCCCGTATATTTTTTGAGCACTGCTCCACGGTTTAGGGCAGTTGCCATCATCTAGTTCTATCTCCTAAGAAACCTCAAGTTCCAGGAGCATGTTTCCCACAGTGATGGGAGCATTCTGAAATTTCAAGGCTCCTTAGCTATCACTGGCCTCTGCTTGCTGCATCCCTGCCTCTGAGGACAATTCTAATGAAGGAAAGGCGTAAAGCAAAGTATTCTCTGGCACCAGGATCAACCCTGACAGACGATCATACTGCCAGGCTCCTTATTTGCTAGATTCAAATTCAGGGAATGTATAGGGATATGAAAGTGAATAAGATATTGGACTTTCAGGACTCATTGTAACCCTTGCATTTGACCCAAAACTTCACCCTAATTCTGGCATTGGAGAAAAGGATAACATGGAGCATGGAAGAGGGAGAAGAAAACTCTTGAGCAAAGTCCTGGAATTAACTAATTAATCTCTCACATGGCTCTATACTCACCCTTGCTTGCAATATAGGTTTCTCCTGTCTCATCCCCACTCTAATCCTTCCTCCTTCACTTCCTCTTAGCTTTATTTATTTATTTTTCCTTTTTGATTTACTCCTTCCATTGCCTGTAACCCCTTTACCCATTCTTCACTACTATTTTTCAAATATATACATAAAAGGCTGATCTCTCTGTTTA